ATATATATATATATATAACATAATACCTCCTCCAACTAAATTACCAATACAAAAGGCAAAATATACATGAATAGACCACATAAAATGCCTTCCAGAGCATTAAGGCCAGAAGTCTGCATATTCCAAGGAAAAATGTGCAAATACTCCTCCATCAAGCTCATGTTTTTCATCAATTCTACGTAGACGTTCATATGAGATTATTTTAGATTAAACAATAATTTTAACTTCAGAATTCTAAATACGTAACTATATATATTAAATATTCTCGAAGAGATAATTTTATTATCTTAGTTTGAACAGGACCAGTGAAAAGATGCATATGTTATATCTAAATTAAAATTCTTTTAATAAATATTTAAAATTAGTAATCCTTAATCATGTACCAACCTTATAAAAACACTTTTATTTATCAACCAATAAAAATCATAGTGTGATTTTTAAATTATTTATTATAAAAATTAATAAATTTATCATACATGATAATAATAATTTGTATTAAGATGACACTGTAAAATCATCATTAATTAGTAGCAACATTATCGGTTGCTTTACAAGCAACTATGTCAGTAAAGCAATTGTTGCTTTTGAAGAGTTATTGTTGAATTTTATTCATCTAGCTAGAGTATCCGTTGCTTTAAGAAGTACCAGTGCTTAAACCTAAAAAAAAATATTATTTTAATACAATATCACATTTTTTTATTATTGCATTCTGATTTAAGATTTTTGGTGGACTCTTGGAAACAAGCCGGAAGATTTATTACTATTGTAGAGATTTTGTGTGCTTAAATGTATTTGCATTTGGAAGCATTAAAAATAAGTGATGTCCCATCAGAAACAATAAAGTGAGTTGATATCATTATAGATGCTCTTAAAAACTGACTTTGTTATTTGGAGGAAACCGCCATCATTCAACATCAAAGCAAAACTAATATTAACAAAATTAATAATTAAAATTATAAAAAGAATAATAAAATACTTCGATAGCAATAAAACAAACCTAAGCAATACATGCAATATTCTAAATAATATAAACCGAATAATATCTCATATTCCAGTCTAACATAAAATAAAATAAAATATATAAATTAATACTGACATGTATAATTTATGTAATGAACAATTAAAGTTAACTTTTTTTTAAGAAGACTTATTGCATTCATTTAAAATAGTTGTAATAATACAAATGAGTAAGGAATACATAGAGTACAAAAAAAAAAAAATCTTAACACTTGTTTGAGAGTGAATGACCAAATTGACTTGTCTCTTAATATAATTAACCGAGTAGTTCTGTAATTTGCTAAGTTTGTTTTTACAAATTTAGAAATGATAATACCGAATTCAGTTTGGCTAGTGGTGTTTCTAAGAGTGTGATCAACCACTGGCTTGTAGTCTAATTCAATAGCTACTTTTGGAAACCTTATTCTTCTAACCAATGAATGGCTTCCAACATGCCCAGAGCTTCGGCTTCATGTGCAGGTGGGATTTCGGGGTACCATGATGTTGTTGCTTTCATGAGTTCACTCTTTTCATTATGAAATATAAATACACAATGGTTTGAAGTCTCTTTGGTTTGCGAAAATAGCAGGGTCGATGTTGCATTTCAATACTCATGTACTAGGCCTTCTCCAAATTTGCAAAAATAACAGGGTTGATGTTGCATTTCAATACTCATGTGTTGGGTCTTCTCTAAACGTGTGTTTGAAAAATAGCAGGATCGATGTTGCATTTCAATAATCATGCGTTGAGTCTTCGTGAAAATAGCAGGGTCAATGTTGCATTTCAATACTCATGCATCCGGTCATCTTCAAATAAATGTGTATGTACGCGTGTGTGAGATTGTCCAATTAGATGTCTCAACCATGTTTCATTTTCAATATTTGGGTTGCATAGGAGAGAAATCAATTCAATATTCAAGTTGCATTGGAGAGGGATCAAATAATATTCGTGTAAATCTTAAACTTTAAATTCTAAACACACACATAATTTAAAATATTGATATTTGAATGATCATCCGTAAGACTGATTCTTTAATAATATATAATTTAATTCAACAAGATTATCCTCTTTGACACATATATAATCAAATTTATTATTGAATAAACTTGACAATTTCTTTTATCACACTTTATGAGAGAGAAACCAATACCTAAACTGACCCGCTAAATAATATTCCTCTTGTTCAAATCCTTTTATAATATGGGAGGTTTGTTTTCCAAAATTAAGTTTTATTACTTTAACCGATGGTATATGAATATAATTTTTGTTAGAGTTTAATTTGTCTTGTATTTTTTTAATAATAAAAAATATAATTACATATAATTATTAGTATATGATTAATAATATTATGAAGTTATTAAAATATTTAATAATGTTTAACTCAAGGAAAGTTTATAGTACTGTCATGATAGTATTAATTAAAATATCTAATAGTTATCGACTTTATCTCAGTAGTAATTATTTGTCATAAAAGTAGTTGATATTATTATTTTACTGAAAAGGTAGTTATTAATTACATCGATAATTGTATATAATTATATTATTTATTCTTAACCGCTTATAAACTAAAATTGATCATATTTATATGTATATTTAACTAATATATATATATATATATAAAAGGAAGATTCAAACTACACCGATATAACTTTTATTAAGTGTTACACCACTTAATAACTTTATATTAAATGTGAATTTTGAAAATCTAACCGTTAGATTGAAAGTTGATATTCTTAAATCATATATGTCAAATTTTGTTAAAATTGAACAACAACTTAAGGTAATCAAAATGTTCATATTTTAGTATATTTTGAAATGTATATATTATGTCAATTTTGTTTTATGAGAATGAAGTATCAAATCATCTTAGATTAATATAAAATTTGATATATATGATCTAAGAGATATAAACTTTCAATCTAACGGTTGAATTTTCAAAATTCACATTTAATATAAAGTTATAGGACAGTGTAACATTTAGTAAAAGTTACACCAGTGTCGTTCGAACCCTCCATATATATATATATATATATATATTATGTGTGTGTTTAATATAGTATTTTTCTTAAGGTTAATTTTGCTTGTTGTGTTCAAAATGTAAACATTCATATGGTCTTTTTGACCTAAAAAAGCATTTACGATTTAATATATTATTTTTTCGTTGGGAGTGGAACATCAGCTAACCAGAATTATGGTTCTAGAAAGCAAAGCAGCATAACATTATATAATTCTTTTTGCCCATATAATTTTCGTGTGTAATTAGATATACTCGTGATTCATGAGTACTGAATATTTTAAGCTTCAGCATGAGGCATGACGGTTCAAAAACATATACTAAAGAGAGTACAACTTTAAAATTAAAAACGGTTAATAATTTAGAAATTGCGTTAAATAATATTTTAAAATAGTAATTAAAGTTGTAACGAGTCCATAGGTAATTATCCTTTAAAAATCAATATTTCAACAACAAAAATAGACAATAATCTAATTAATTAGGATTAACATGCAAAATAGTTATTGATTATTTGTGCAATAATATATTTGTATAAGAATAATAATTAAAAACATAAATGTATACATAATTTGTCAATCAAACAACATATTTACAGGTTGTATTAGAACAACACAATCAACACTGTCATTTCTACCATGACACCACTAAAATATTTAGTTCGCCCTCCAACTTAATATTGCGTTGTTCCTATAATAATGTGATCATTGCAGTACAATAACAAAGAAAATAAGGGTAAGTTTATATACAACAAAGAAACACAATATAAAATGTAAGATGCAATTATATCAACAATTTCATCATTTCAATACAACTACAACCCAATGCTCAATTTAATCACACATAACATATAGTATAGCTTTACAATTTAGCAACTTTTTCAACATGCATCTCGGTATACAACTCATCATTTTATCCACATAGATACGTAGATCACATAACTAATCAACCACTTAATAACAACCACTTAATAACATAACGACAAAATAATACAATAATAAGGAAACACAACAACACAATATGTCATCATGCATTCTAACTAAGAAATCTCTTACAATACAGGTAAATAATTTAAGTGATTTTATCCTACTAAACCAAATTTAATAGACCAACCTTTTTGGCTTGATAGGTCAACAATAAATTAGATATCAATCTACAAGATAG